AAAAATAAAATTTTCGAAATTTTTGAAAATTTCAAAAAAAGATATGGGGTTACTAGGGATTCAAAAATTGACAAAAATTTCAAATTTTTTAAGTTTTAAATCTAGTATGCAGATTTGTTAACTTGACAAAAACTAACGTAAAACTGCTTTCCGAATTAAAATTAAGGTCTTTTTGGCTTAGTTATGAGTGTTTTAATTTTTGAGTTTGTGGAAAAAATTGTCATTTAAAAATTGAGATAAATATTGATTAAAAGAATGCGACTATTTTAAGCTTATTTATGATCGATTTTTGAATCCTATTACTGTATTGTAAACTGCAAGATTTTATAAATGTTGACTTGCCGAAATATTTTTCTTTCTTGTTAGTTTTATTCTTAAAATCAAAATGTGAAGAATTATACGTTTTGGAAGCTGCCAAATAGGCCACAAAATCACATTATAATTTCATTTAAAACTAGCTTTACTATAACAAAAAATTTGTGAGGAAGTAATTCAAAAGAAAGTTATATTTCTTTAGAAAACATTGCTAAAAATTGGAAGTTTGTAATATTTATATTTATAAAATATATATTTAAATAATATATATATATAATATAATATATATAATATAATATATATAATATAATATATATAATATAATATATAATATAATATATATATTATAATATATATAATAAAATATATTTAAATATGTTTGCATTTTCCAAAAGGATAAACTACAAGTTTTCTACATAACTCTAAATAATTGTACAAGCTTTAGCTTTATGAATATTTTCATATCTTAATCACAACTTCATCTATAACATATTTCTTCTGCCATAAAATACATTTCCTTCTTAAAAATGGGTTAAAATCTTAAAATTTGATGTGAGTTCCAGAGAGGAGGACGCATCATCAATGTTTTTTGAGCTGGCACAAAAAGCAAAAGTGTGTCTCGGGCTTTCAGCCTTCGGCCTGATCTTGATTTTGCGTCATTATGATTCGCATACAGATTATACAAATTTCGTAAAAATACAAAATATATATGTGGTATAAGTATATATATTTCGAGTGTCTGAGAGGCCTGGTTGCCTCTTATGTTTATGAGACATCTGCAGGCAATCGCAGCAGGTCGTCGACGACGATCTTCATCCTCATCATCGGCCAAACCAATTTCATTCCGAGATTCGTTCAGCTGTCGGTATTTGTGGGCTACTGTTTCGAATTTTTCAAAGTCGCCAAATAATTTTAATGATCTGGCACAGCGCACAAAGTACTAAATTAACTTAAGAGCCTTCTTCCACTCGACTCCACTTCACTGATTTGCTCTTCGCTTCTTGGCTTGATTTTTTCTTTATTTTTTCTTCGTTTTGGGCAGTGAAAATGATTAATGGCATTCCAGAAAGCCTAAGCTAAAAAGAAACAGCTTCTGATTTGCTGATTTGCCTTTGGGGCAAAAGAGGAAAGAAGCCCCTAAAAAAACTGAAGTTGATTGAGAGCAGAGAAGGTATTAGGAAAAGAATCCAATGGAATTATTGTCAGATCATATTGACAAAGAAAAATATGCAAAAATAAACTATTTAAAAAAAATATATTAGATATTTAAACACTACTATTTAAAACAGTGTTTTAAATATCTGAAAATAAGAATTTGAAACTGATCTATCACTGGGTTACCAAATATTCATACAAAGGAAAAAGGTATTGTTTAAACATTTATCTGAACCCATTTCGTTGCTTAGTCAACTGATGAATATTAAGTATATTCTTCTTGGTATTAAATCCAGAAAACGTTTATATATATAATTGTAATAAATAAAGATACTTAAACACTTTTAGAATGGCAGTCTTCATACAAATATTTGGTTCCCTCTTTACTAAAATAAGTCTTATGTTAAGAGTTTATTGTTTAAAAACTATAAAATATTTAAGATTGACATAATGAAGAAATGGATGTTTATTTAGTTATGTAAAATAACTTTTAGGGAATCTAAAGAAAAGCTTTAGAGAACTATGTTCTTTAAATATTTTAAAAGACACTTTTAAATGTTAAGTATGATACATTAAATACTATTTTCAAAAAAACTTTTTTATCTTAAAAACTCTTCGAATAAAAAAGAAATTGGAAAAGTAAGATGGTTAGAATCATAGTAATAATCATAAAAAAGTAATAGAATGATTACTGGGAATATATAATTGTAAGCATAAGTAAATGACTTTGTGAAAGTATAATTAAATAAAGTTCAATCTTAATTTAAAAACTGTTTTCTTCTACAGTTTTGAACTATAAATATATTCCTGATCTTTTATCAATTTACCAATAATTTGTAATTAGAAAACCAAGATATTTATTATTATTTTTAGCAAAGCCCATTTAATATTTGTTTAAACTTTCGAAACAAGATAATAACCTAGTTTTCAATTAATAATAATGAAGCTTGGTGAGATATTTTACCCTTATTTATTGGAAATAAATTGATAAAGATTGGATAAAGATAAAGAACAGGAAAGTTGGGTACTCACCAAATTGGAGGACAGCAGGACTCCGGACGAGGTATTAACTTCCGATTCGACGCCTGATGTATGAGTGTGTTCTGGTTCTGTTTCTGGTTCTGATTCTGGTTAAAAGTTATTCTCGTTCCCAATTGATGCGATTGCAGGATAATGCAGATAATTTGATTAGAGATTGCTTCGGTTCGATTCGTTTTTGGGTTTTTTTTTTTGGGGTTGATTCGAGTTCAGTTGTTGCTTTGTTTTTTTGGTGGCAACTGTACTTGATGATGCGTTCTCGTTCGGTTATTGTTGTTGCCTTTTGATTAAAATTATGTTCAATTTTCACTTTTTCACTTATGTTTATATAGGAATAATATAGTCGGTTCACTAGTTAATTGTGTTTATTTAATATATGATTTATGCACTTGAATATTACGCATACGTAGATTACGCATACGCCATGTGTGACACACGCTTGGGACTTGAAGTTATAATTGCGCTTATTCGCTTGCTGACTTCCTGGTAATTGCACACTGCAAATATCTTTATATATATATGTATTTCTGTTGGATGCTTGGAGATGCTGGGGATAGTTATGCTGCAACTATATAGTTGACTTCTTTTGGGAGATTGCACGTTGAATGCAGGCTGACACTCGTCCAGTGACTGAGCCAATGGTGCACGGAACTGCAGGCTTTGCCGAAGAATTGCCGAGAAGCGACGGAAATCGACGAGTGCCAGCCGACAGGATCTCGTTGTGGAGGGGAATCCCCGAATGGCCAGCCGACCAGGTCCGAATCACAAATGCGTGGGCTTCGGGTAGCCATTCGGATTCGGCTATAGGATTTCGGCTGCTGTGGAATGGAATGCTTCGCTGCTGCAGGACTAATCCTGGCTGCTCCTGTTCCCAGCTGAACGTGGCTCCGTCTCCATTTCCGTCTCATTCTCCTTCTCCGACTATTTGCATGGCCATATATATACAAATATACATATATATTCCTTCCATCTCTCCTCTGTTCCCTGATGACCCTGAAGCACACGACCCCCCACCGGAATGCACGCACCAATCAAGGCTCTTCGCTCAAGGTCATACCGCTGACGGCCATTTTGGATGCACCGCCCGCCACGTTCAATGGCCGCCCACACGAACACACACACACAACGAGACTGCATTTCCTGGGCCCAATGAGCATCGCTCTGGCCCACTCAGTCGCCTTGGCAACGACCTTCGGTAGGCGTCGCCCTGACATTGGCCGTGAATTTCCTTTGGGGGTTGCTGCACACCAACAAGGTCATCCCAGCGTCAGCTGTTTTTCAGCCAGGGTTGCGCCTTAGCCTTTTGTGGCGCGCAAAATTTGAAATTAGATTAGCACTTTTTAATTAAAAAAAAAAATCGACGCGAAAGCAACAGCGCAGCAAACTCATTTCATTTACTACCCCATAAATTAATCAGTGAAAACAATAAAGATTTCAATATTATTTCCAACGACATCCGGCCGAATGCGGCACCAAATTTGGCGGAGAGCCCCAAGCCCCGAGTCCCCGGATACCGCGAGAAGGCAGACACTTTGCCAGCTTCACATATATGGGAGGAACATATAAAAATATCTCTATATATATATATAAATATATATACATATATAAATGTATAAATAAAAGTCTCCAGAAAGAATAAAGAACAACCAAAAACAGCTAAGATCTAACAGAAAAGTTATGGGGTTTCCTAACGAAGTTTGGATACTTTTTAGTTCTGAAAACAGAGAAGAACTTGAGGGAAAATTCTATGAACCTATATCAAATTATGTAAGAAAAAAAATATATTTATCAGAAAATAAATATGCTAAATGTTCAATAAAAACGAATTATTACTTTTCTGTTTGAAATTGAATTATAGAATGAAATCGGAAATCATAACTAATCTAAAAGTATTTGCATTTTTTGAATCATGAACATTTTTTCAAAAAATCAAAAATTCAAATACTCATAACTAAGTCAAAAAATCATTAATTTTAATTTGGAAAGCAGTTTTATATTAGTTTTTATTAGGTTTATAAATCTGCGTATTTAATTTAAAAGTTAAAAATTTGGACATTTTTGAACATTTTGAACATCATCAAATTTTGGAAAAAATTTCCAAAAATTATTTTTCTCCCTGAAATGTCTAGATTGATTCTGCTTTGAATGCTGATTAAGAATATATATGATTTATAGGATTGGAAATGACTCCTTCTTATCGTTCCAGGACTCTGACTAAAATTATAATAAGGGTATACAAATGTTCTGAACAAGCGAAGTAATCCTCACAAGAAGGGTATTCCCATTGGAATTTCATTCGATTTTTTGCGGGTTTTGGGAAACTGGACATCTCCCCATTGTTTTGGGCCGTAAATTGAAATGCCAACAAAATGTGAATCATTCGATCAGGGCAAACAAAAAAGAAAGAAAAAAACGGACTGCCATTCAATATAAAGACGCAATATAAAAGACACAAAAAAAAACATTCAGACAAACGCATATATATATATGTATTTACAAATAAATGCGAAAGCGAGTGTGTGCGGTCGGAATAAAAATAAATGAAATTTCATTGTGAGATTTCATTGAACAGCAAAATGCTCAATGAGGGAAATGTATCAAACTTGGCCCCAACATTGATGTGTGCTTTTCGGTTTTTTTTAACTTTGGCGTTTGGCTTTGGCATTTTGGCTTTTGCTGTTCATTCGATCCGCAATAAATTCCTCGAGTGCTCCCACTGACGTCACAAGTGTCCTAGATTATGGCTGAGTGGCAGAGGTAAAGCGTCGACCTCGAGGTGAAAATGTATAATGTATAAACATGAACTCGCTGTGGCGGCAATTTCGAATTTCAAATGGCAATCGTACGTGCAAAATATGTGTATTTGGAAGCCTCCTCCTTCCCGTCATCGTGTCACATCCGTTTTCCAAAATTTTCATTTCCTTTTCCTGGCAATTGATGGTTTGTTTGGTAAGATTGTTGAGACTACATCCTTTCCCCCTCCTTGGGAGCCAGCATCTTGATCACATTCTTCTCAATGGCATCCCGATTGGCCATCAGGCGTCTCAATTTGTTCTCATACTCCTCGTAAGGCTTGTGATTGTAGTTCTCTGAGGATGGGTATAAAACCTTCAGATCAGATGTTTTCGGTGATTCTATTTCAGCTCCTGATAGAGTTCGAATTTCAGATCCCCTGTTTTGCGAGTGTGTTGCCGGTCCGGGTGGAGAGATATCTCCTCTGTTTTGGGAATAAGTTCTAGGTCCTGGTGGAGGCATATCTACTCCGTTCTGCAAGTGATTTCCAGATCCGAATCGAGTTGCATCTCCCCTGTATTGCGAATGAGTTCCATATCCTGTTAGAGAGTTATCTCCCTTATTATGCGAGTTCATTCCATATCCTGGTGAAGAGATATCTCCCCGATTCTGCGCTTGCATTCCATATCCTGGTGGAGAGATGTTACCCCTGTTCTGCGACTGAACTGAAGATCCTGACGGAGACACATCCTTGGCCTCAACTTCCAAGTGTATCGCAGTGTTAGTTGACCCAGGTCCTAGTTTTTCACCGAAATCCAACTTGGAGTTCTCCTGATTATGCCTATTCATGTACTGGAAATGCTTTATCTTCTTGGAAAATTTCGACTTGAATTCGGGCTCATTATCATCATTGGTCTTGCCAGTGATTCCAGTTGGCTTTAGGCTTCTCAGTTTTGATTCTAATTTCCTGGAATTGCAACAAATCGCCTTGATGTGATGATCCAAAGCAGCCATTAGGCATGAGATCCTGGCCAGAAATTCCGGATCGTCAACGGTATTTTCATCCACTTCGGTGTTATTACACTCATCTCTCTCTTCATCATCGTCGCCGGCTGCCATGTCGAGATCCTCACCATCGTCTTCGTCCTTGACAATTTTCATTCGATTCAGCTTAACGTTGGGATAATTCTCATACCTCACATCATTGGGATTCTCAGCTGGACAAATTGGTATTCCCATTTGTGAACTACGAATTGGATTAAGATCTCCCAAAACATTACTTCTTGGATGCTTCGGCATGGCCATCACTTCATTTTGTTGATGGTTCAAGGAATAAACCGCATTCTCTTGCTTTTGGCACATTAGAAAGTTCAGCAATAAACAGGTGATAATATATATTCTAGTTAAAAAAGCCATTTTTGGATAGTTGAATATTACTTGAAAATTAGAGCACAGTTCATAGATGATTTCTAAATATATTTGCTTGATACTGTGACACTTTCAGCAACGGTTGTTAGCTTTGATATATTTTGTTTACTTGAAGTTGAGTTAAAAAATATATCACATTTAGCATTTCAAGAAAAGTAATTATTTCAAGCAAAGTGTAAAAAGAGAATTTAAAGGCATGTTACACCCTTAGAGAGATCACAAATATGAGCATAGTATTTTCATTGTTTGCTCAATGTTTGATTATTATAATATTAATATTATAGATAGTTAAAATATCATTACCCATAAATCACTTAATAAATAAGGAGACGCCGTTTGAAAACCTTAACTAATACATATTAACCCTATCCAAATTGATCAATAATTGTTTAATAAATGTATGTAGGAGCTTTTCCCTTCTGCTCACAGATTTAAATTGTCAATTTCAATTTGACTTTTATTTCTCCTCTCCATTCATTTAATGGATATATATATAAATATATACTCAAATGCCGCGGCATTGGGCCACGCTAAGCAGTTAAGCTGGCACGCTCAAGTGGCCATGGAGTCCTTCGCCATGCGGTTCGTTTTCCTCAATGAACCAATGCCGCCCACGCGGCATCATCATCAAGGGAAAATACCCAACAGAGGGGGGCGAGTGGAGGAAAAAGCCAGGAAAAATAGGAAAAACAGAAAAAAAAAACTTACCTTCCACAGATGCGGCAGGACTCTCTCCTAGTGTGTGTGTGTTGCCCTAGTTCCACAGTCCTTGTCAGTGTGGATGCCATTGCTCCGTGAATGAAAATCCTTGTTCGCTCTCGTCCGCTCTTTCGGTTCTATGACGGCATTTTGGGTTTGCTTCGGGTCCTGCTGGGGATTTCTTTTTCCACGACTCTGGACAGGGGGAATGTCATTCTTGAATTTTTCCCCCATCTTCGCGCATGTGTTTTTCCCCCAAAGGCAATGTTGTTGTTGCTGCTGCTGTTGGCCAAGAAAATCAATGAATGAACATGGAGACACGTAGCCCGCGAAGCAGGATGTGTCTTTATAAATTTTTCCTCAATGAAAATCACAAGCACACACACACTCGCACACAAGCTCTTGATGGGCATTAAATTTTTGGCAAAGAAAATGCCGCACATTTCCTTTGAATTTTAAGTGCACCTCGTATGTGCCATTTAAGACGAAAGGAATTACGTGCCAGAAATAACGTAATGCGATACGGGAAGGTAATTACGGAAACGGAACTCCATGAACAACTCAATAGCAGAAATAGTGCACTTCTATTGGGTGCTTTTAAATTTTATAACCCTCTAAAAAAGTGCACATTTCTTTTGTCGTTGAGACACCTTCCAGAAACTGTTGATTCGACAAGAGCTATGAGAGCATATATTTCATGGGTTGCAAAACAAACCAATTAATATAAAAATTAAAGAAACAGCTAAAAGTGTTTATTAAGCAATTATTAATCTATCTAAAAACAGATAGTATAAATTTTCTTAAGCATTTTTGAAGGGTATTACAATTTCAGTCGGAAGCTTGAAACTTAGTGAAGGAGTCATTTCCGACACTATAAATCATATATATTCCTGATCAGAATTAAAAGACTAATCGATCTGGTCATGTCTGATGAAAAAATAAATTTTTGAAATATTTCTTCAAGATTTGAAAAAAAAGATAAGGGGTTACATCGTTAAAATATTCAAAAATTGGCAAAAATTTTAATTTAATTTAAATCGTATGCAGATTTATTAACATAATAAAAACTAGCTTAGAAAAGCTTTCTGAATTGAAATTAATGCATATTTGACTGATTTATGATATTTGAAAAACGATTCATTTACCCAAAAAATTAGCATATAAAAATATTGAACTATTATATATAAAAAAGCACATATTTTAGGTAGGGAACATTTTTCTAAAATGAATAGGAGTGTGCGTTTAAATAATACCTCATAAACCCTTTTAAATTTAAGTGTTAGCTTTATTATCTAAATTAATATTCCTCCATAACCCAATTTTTAAACACATTACCTTCACCACTTTAATAGAATTAAATCCTCTTAACCATACTCAAATAAAGCATTAAGCACAGCTTACCTGTTACCTGTTAATTGACCCGCTTAAGCAGTTTATCCAATTTTCATCGACAGATTCTCCTTGGGGACAAGTCATCCTCCTTTGGTAGCTGTAGCATTTATACACACATATTTATATATATATTTTAATAATTTTAATATTTTAATACAACAATCTAAATCTATATTCCATAACCCCAATTTTAAACACATTACCTATGGAAATACCATCACCACTTTAATAGAACTAAATCCTCTTAACCATGTTCAAATAAATAGCATTAAGCACAGCTTACCTTGGCAGTTATTTGACCCGCTTAAGCAGCTTATCCAAATTTAATCGACAGATTATCCTTGGGGACAAGTCATCCTCCTTTGGCAGCTGTAGCATTTATACACACATATTTATATATATATTTTAATAATTTTAATATTTTAATACAACAATCTAAATCTATATTCCATAACCCCAATTTTAAACACATTACCTATGGAAATACCATCACCACTTTAATAGAACTAAATCCTCTTAACCATATTCAAATAAATAGCATTAAGCACAGCTTACCTTGGCTGTTAATTGACCCGCTTAAGCAGTTTATCCAATTTAAATCGACAGATTCTCCTTGGGGACAAGTCATCCTCCTTTGGTAGCTGTAGCATTTATACACACATATTTATATATATATTTTAATAATTTTAATATTTTAATACAACAATCTAAATCTATATTCCATAACCCCAATTTTAAACACATTACCTATGGAAATACCATCACCACTTTAATAGAACTAAATCCTCTTAACCATATTCAAATAAATAGCATTAAGCACAGCTTACCTTGGCAGTTATTTGACCCGCTTAAGCAGCTTATCCAAATTTAATCGACAGATTATCCTTGGGGACAAGTCATACTCCTTTGGCTGCACATATGTATGTATATTTGGGTGGAGAGCAGCAGCATCACCAACATTAATGGCACTGGCACTTGACACAACATTAGCTCGAGGACGAATGCCTGGCAGGGTAGACGAGGATATATACCACACACTTGGCCCACTTGAGCCCGGTTGAAGGATACTTGCAGGCAGCATTTGCGTCATTCACAAAACTGAGCCGAGTCTCGTAACTTTGCAGTTGCTTCAGCTGCTGCTGCGACACAATTGTCCTTGGGGTGAACGAACCTTGTTGGCGGTTGACCTAGTTTTTTGGACTGCAGGCAGGACTTACCCATTCATCGGCATCCTTGGCGCGTTCAATGACATACAGCAGCAGCAGCAGCAACAGCAGCAACAAGGAGCGGCAACAGCAGCAGCACCAGCATCCTGGGTATGAATGAAAAACGGACCTCTGCGCATGCCAACTAGGTCAATATCCTTTTCACCAATGACGTCACCAGTGACACAGTTAATACACAATCTGCATTTTTTTTTTTTTGTTATTCTGCATAGCTTAACTTTTCTCCTGTTGTTGCTTGCACTTTATTCTAGGTTGACATTAACAAAAAAAAAAATCGCAAGCAATAAATGTGGGGGTCGAGGTTTTTTTTTAGTTTAGAGCGTTTTACAAAAAATTTGATTTAAAACCATTATAACAGAGTACTCTTCAAGCGACTACGACTGCAACGACCACGATGACTTTTGTTAATAAATGAAACTAAGATTAAGAAGAAAGGATCCAGATCCTCCTGAGAACGAGGACGAGGACACACCACAAGCGTGCACAGTCTGTAGTAGCAGTTTCTTTCACTTTTCTTTTGTTTTGTTTTTTGCTTGTACGTTGTTTTTGCTGCTAATAATTTTGGCAATTGAAATTTTATTTACAAGATCTCAAAGACCTTTTTCAGTTCCACCATTAAAGACCAGTCCGCCTTGATTAGGTCATCACGGAAGTAATCCTTGCAGGCATCAATGCTCTGGCGGGAAATCTGCAAAAAGGGAAAGAGATTTAAGGTATAATTAAGTGTAAATATGGTATAATTACTCATAATTTCAATAAGAAAAATGTAGATCGTTTAAAAAATTTAAAAAAAACATTAGATTTACTTGATATTTTCCATGTTAAACCCTTTAAAATCGATTTAAAATCCTTAAATCCTTTAAAATGCATAGTTATTTAAAACTCTACTCTATAATTACCATATTTTTTCATTACAAAAACTTTCATTTGCTAATTAAAAACCTTTCTTTAAAGAGAAATCACCATACCAGAATGAAATTGTAAATGGTTTTTGTATTTTTTGTATCAGCGTGTGCCTTTAAATGCATATTAATAACACGCTGCGCTACACATAAATCATTTTTTGCATTATGGATTCAGCTAAAATGTATAATTGGAACGTGCCAATTGTCATATATATATATATATATATATAACTCCCACCGATTTCTCGGGGCAGGGTTATATGATGAGATTCAGGATGCGGCTGCTTCATCAATCAAGCAACGGGGTGGCACGTGTCTTTGGTGTCTCGCCTTCAGTATCTCCTTGCCCTCCCCCTCCGAGACCCCGACATATGGCGCATAACAATTAAAAATCATTTTTAACAATATTTTTTCTTCCATCTTTTCGTATCCGATTCAGCTTTAGGTTTACTTTATGCCCCAGCAACGCTTTATCGAAGCTATTTTAGTGTCGCCATTTTTTATGGCGCTTTTTTAATGCGTTTTTTAATGCCTCCTCGCGTTTATGGCGACCGATGGGAGATGGGAGATGGGAGAGGGGAGAGGATAGTCCCCAGTCTCGAAGAAGTTCCACTTTCGGACCTCCTAAAAGTCCCTTGATAAAGAGTCAGCCCTTCTCTTCCCGCTTAATTATTATTTTTATGCCCATTCGTAGCTGCTCTTTTTTTTTTTGTGTATATTTTCTTTCTTTTATTTTTTGGCGCATCGCATATTAATTAGGCCCGATCAATGCTTTTGATTATTGGAAACGTATAATATTTATGGTACAAAAGATTTCTCTAAACGATAAGCGGGGAATAAAGCCTCTCTCAAGGAGTCCCCATTTATGGCCATGCATATTAAAGCGAATGGCCGAGTCTTTTGTTCAAGAGTTGAAGGATATATCGGGGGAGTCGTTAAAGACAGAGCCTGAATTTAAGTAGATATTGATTGGTTAACTATGAACCCTCATTATACCCTTTTGAAGGGTGTTATAATGTAGTCAGAGGCTTGAAACTCAGTGAAGAAGTCATTTCCGACACTATTGATCATATATATTCTTGATCAGCATGAACAGACAAATCGATCTAGACATGTCCGGTTAAAAAATAAATTTAAAAAAAAATTCTCCAAATTCTATAAAGGGTTACATCCTTAAAATTGTCAAAATTTGACAAAAAAATTTAGATTTTTAGATTTTAATGCAGATTTATTAGGCCTATAAAAATTAGCATAAAAAATCTATCCGGATTGAAATTAATGCATTTTTGGCTGAGTTATGATAATTGAAAAACTTTGAATTAAAAAAAAAAAAAATTAGCAACAAAAATGTTGTATAAATATTTAAAATAATACATTTTTGACTTAGTTATGATATCCATTATACCATGGGTAACTTGAAGGGTATACAAGTTACTCCTTCTTGTTTTAGCTTGAAATTGTATATGGATATAACAAATTCAATAAAATAAATCAGGATTTTAAGGAGATTAAAGTATCTATAAGTATAACCAAGTCATATTTAGATATATATAATTTTTTCTTTTTCAAACTTCCCCTTTTGATGAGTTTCCAAGCATTCAGATCAAATTTCACAACATTTTTCGTCCCCTAATCGACCCCTCTAAAGTTTCCCCAACTCTATTTGCAATTTCCACTTGATTAGCTCGCTCCGAAAACCCATTAAGCCCCGACCTAATCCAATCAGTCTCAACTAATTGCTGCTATTTTTAGAATCCCGGCCTTGCCCAATTTTCCGAGTCTGAAAAGCCGCAAGGCCGAAACAACAGTTTGACCTCAGCTTCAATTTCCAAGGGAGGGTTTTGGGTTATCCAATGAAGATGGGCTTTTGCAATGGGGTTCTCTGCTCCCATTTTTGGGTCGCCGAATGCGTCACTGAGCTGAGCACACAAATTAAAGCCAAAAAGAGAAGAAAAATATATAGCCGCAAATGGCGAAAACCGAACCCGCTGAAAAAACGCATACAGAGAAAACTGGGTCGACATCCGAGGGAAAACTGGGTTACTTCGATGACGATATAGGGGTCAATGAACGCCGCCCGGTGTGTCGCTGCTGCAAGTGCATTTGCCGTGGAAGGTGAAACGTGACGTCAGCCTCCCAACTTGGAATGGGAATGCAGGAATGCAGGGGAACGGAGAATGGAGCATGAAGAAGGACACAGGACAACCTCCCTTTTGCAAGCAGAAGGAGCAATCGGTATCATCAGGTCAGCCATGACATAATACCCTTTCATGGCTGCCAGGTTCTCTAGCGTAAAAGACATTGAGAGCTATAAATAGAACCGAGAATGTGTGTAAATTGGGTGGGCATTGTGGGGTGGTCTTCTCCATCTTTTGATAGCTTCTAATGGGGTGTACACTGGGGAAATTAGCAGAGACTTTAACATGGAAATTGGACACAAAATTACTAGTGAAGAAGCGTAAAATATGTGAACAAATTTATAAGTTGGGTAGCGATAAATCTGGGAAAACTGATACAAATAGTTATAAGAAAATAATTCTTGAAATATGACTTGTAAGGGGTAGTTAAGCATATTTAATTCTCCAATTTATGTATGCTTAGAATTTTGAATTATTAAAAAAATAGTCTTCATAAAGACTATTAAAGATAAAATTATATATAATATAATAATGTATATAATTATATATAAAAATACCAACGCATACTTTATAGTTCTTAAGAATTTACTGGTGAAAGAATGCTGGAACCCTATTAACAAAAATAAATCAATAAACAAATAAATAGTTTTGGAACTGATTTATTCTGAAAACTTATTAATATGCCTTTGCATATATTTTATAAAGATTTATTTACCCAGTTAATTAGATATCATGTATATTGATTCAGCAAAAAAAAATCAAACAACTTTTTCCTAGTTCCACCCATTTCTTTAATTAATTTGTCCCAAAATTTTTTTCAGTGCTGGGACTTTATCATTCAATTTCATGGGCCTAAAAATACATCTTATTCATTTATATTTTAACGCAGTATTAATTGAATAAATTATGCTGCAGACTCGAAACTCAATGGGCAATTAAGTGCTCGCCTAGAACCTCTCTCTCTCCCTCTCTGACGTCATCGATGTCACCCACTGATAAGGGCAGAAAATGAGTCGAACCAACACAATGGAATCGAAAATTAAGTTTGATATCGATTTTGGTTTCAGCGAATAATAAATATATAACCTTCCCTTCCAAAAGAGCCCTTGACGTCAGCAACGGCGGTAAGTAATTGTTAATCAAATGATTGAATGAAAGGAAGTTGCAAAGACCTTTTAACGCCACTTAGGCCAGTTAAGTCATCATCCAAGTTCACCCCTGGAACACACCACACACACTCAACACCTAACTAAGGCCATGTAATTTGATAAGCCAGATGGCAGTTGTTGTTGTTGTTCTACCTTCTCAAGGTGAGAGTAGCAGTTCAGGTGCACTGCCACTAACTTCTCACCTTTTGCCAGTCAGGTGCAATTGATAACTTTATTGAGCTATTGAGCTTAAGTGATTTGCACTCGAATTCGCACTGACTCGGTGTCTGATCAATTAAAGTAAATTGATAGTATATTTGAATCATAGAATGAGTTAGAAATTAATTTGATGATTCTGATGACCTTTGATTTACGCAACGGACTTTAAGTGAAATAAACGTTTAATTAAAAAGGTATTTATATTAATTTATAATTGATATCAGGAAGTCTGCCTTACCGTCTCTAAAACCTATCAAAGGATGTTGTAAAGTACTGCAAAAACAAAAAATCAAATAAAAATAGCACCATATAATCGAGGTTACAATCGCCACACTTCAGATATCTAATCCGTTCATAAATATCTATCACAGACCTGCTCGTAATATTAATATTTTTTTTTGCTGAACGAGTATTATTAACTTCCCCCCGACAAATGCACTCGAGTTCTAAGTTGATACTTCCGCTCCCGAATCCTAATGAATTTATTGGACAGTTTTTGTGTTGCCACGCCTATTGTTTTTTCTAGTCAAGTGGCTTTCCACTTAATACTGATTTGATTGAAACACTTACCTTGCTGACCAGCATATCATCTGCCTCGAAATGGCGTCCGAACATTTTTGGCGATTCACCGGGAATTGGATCGATTTTGACGCAAATCTCTTGACCCTTGCGAGCTGAATCGATTTGCTTGTGATTCGATTCAATGGAAGTCACGATTCCGATGTCCACAAACTGCAAAGCAAAGTAAAAAAAAAAAAAAAGAAATGAAAACGATTAGAGAAATTGTGAAAGTGTTTGGTGGCCCAATGGGGCGAATGCGTAATATTTGCTTCTGCAAATTAGGGAACTTTATTTTGCTTTCTGGGTCATTTATAGGGTGGGACTTCCGCATGTCATTGACTGAATCGCTGATAAGTTATGCCAAAGAGCTCATTTAATATGCCAGAGCCGTAAAATAAGCATCAAAAAAATAAAACAAAAGGTTTGCCAAAAAAAAAACAAAGGGGGGGGGGGGAAAGAAAAATAAGTAGAATTACGATGGTGAGTCTTATCAGCGCATCTGTTGCTAGTTTCATAGGCGGTGACCACTTCCTCTATTTCACTGATAAACTTGTGGGTGGATATATGTATGTAGTTGTCTCTATATAGTACACTGCACTGCAAAGCTCTGCTTTGTCTATATATACCATTAATTCTTTTTGTATATAGAGGGTTAAGCTAGATAACATTTAAGACTCGGGACACTGGTAGGAAAAATGAATACAGCTTAAAATAAAGCTTAGAAAAGTATTATATATTATATATAATATATGTTATTATTAATATTTATACTATAGTTTTATGTACTGCTTACAAATAAAAACTTATTAAAAAAAAATGCATCCATTTATTTATCAAGAATCTAATTCCCCTTAAACCATTTCAAAATTCTTTTCTAAATCACTTTGATGGGTTAAAAAAATATTATTATACATTTATTATTAATATAAATATTAAAACTGTAGTTTTCATTACGGAATGAATTAATAAATTCATAAATATATCCTTCCATTTATAAATCAAGAGCTTATTTCCCTTTTAATCATTTCAAAATTAAAAATTATTTTCTAAATAACTTTGGTATGTTACAGAAATCTTCATTATAAATTTATTATTAATATCAATATTAAAACTGTATTTTTATTTACTGCATCAATTTATAAATTTATTATTAACATCTTTAATTAATAAATCAAGAACTTATACCCCTTTAAACCTTTTCAAAATTCAAAATTCGTTTCTAAATTAGCTTAGATAGCTTAAAGAAAATTTTATTATATATTTATTATTAATATTATAATAAAAACTGTAGTTTAAATTACAGAATGAATGCTTTCATTTATTAATCAAGAACTTCATTTCCTTTAAACCGTTCTAAAATTCACAATTAGTTCCTAACAAAGAACCTTACTTTTGATTTCTTTCAGTGCATTCTGTATGCTCCTATCTCCCATGGCCTAACAAAGTCATTGAACCAAATTGTAACATGTTTGTTGTCGTAACCCGTTTTGCACTCGTCGGCAGCGGCAAAAGCAGAAACTATATAGAAACAACAACAACAACAACAACAACAAAAAACAACAACAACAACAAGAGGCAGAGCCAAAGTAGACAGGAAACTGTTGCCAACGTCGCGTTTCCTGTGGGCGCCCGCCCCAATGGCGTCGCTGTTGCTGTTGCTCTCTCTCTCTCTTTCTGCCCCTCTCCTCGTTCCCGTTCATCGTATTTCATTCAAACCAAATAAATTATTGAAATTTTTTGTTGGCTCGTTGCTATCGGTGCAAATAGCTACAACACATTTATACACCCCATCGAGGAGGGCAGCATTTGTCACCATTTCCTGTCGTTGATTACTCATACGCCCCGTGGTACCACGTCTTCGTTGCTTCTTCTGTTTCTTATGTTTTTCTTGTCTTTAATTCTCTTCCTTTCTGGCTCCTCCTCCCCCTCTCTCTTCGTAAAAATGTTCATTAAATGTGTTAATTTATTTCCATTTCCACACAATTTTTTCTTTCAACATTGCGCCGCTGCTTTTATGAGAGGAACGAAAACAACCCAGTGGGGGATATTTATGATATACAGAATAGATATGGTGCAGAAGGATGGAATATGTGTGGAAAGGGGGTGTGGGAAAGTGGCAGCAGTAGAGTGGGGGGAAAGTGCGAATTTTCTGGGCACCGAATTTTCATATGAAATGATGAGCAGAGAAAATTGATGGGCCTGTTGATGCAAGTCGGAAAAAAATATGAAAAGGAGGAGAAAACTTGACTTGAAAGGAGATCAATTTGCAGAGAAATGAAATTGAATTTCTATATAAGAATTTATCACATTTTGATTAAGTTCTTATTGGCTAGAAACATATTTTACCTTAAAGTTTAGCTAAATTTTAAGTATACTAATCCAGACTTGAAAATGTAATATCACATTGATTTTATTGAAGACAAACAGTATTTTTTTCAAGAGAAAGATATTCTGGAAGTAATGTCTCATCATCAAATAACAGTACATTTTATTTTTTTTATATATTATTTCATCCTTAAAACCTTCAACCTTTTATAAATCAAATATTTTTCTATCGAATTCTAAAATAAACATACTTAAATTTTCCTAAAATCTATTAAAATTTTCATTCTCTCAGTTAGTTTTCAATTGATTTCAGTCACTTTTATTGAATTAATCCTCTTATATATCTGCATAATTTAGAACAACCAAAAATAGCCAAAGAAATCTATGGGGGGGGGGGGGGTAAATATATATTTTCAGTTTTCGATGCCAAAGCAAACAAATTCTTTATTGGGCATCGGAGAAAAAATTCGATGACGACGCGGTCGTCTCGTGTCGTCGAGAAACCCAAACAAGTTGACTACGAAAACAACATTTTACATTCCACATTTATTTCTCTTTTTTTCCCCCCTCCTGTTCGATTTTGTATATATATTTCTGTGTGTATCAGCGTTTATCTAAAAATATGATTTATATATTTCGTGCAGACCGGATGTCGTCTATTTTCGAAAAAAGCGCTGCCTTGTATGAATGAACGAAAGCAACAACCGAAAAAAAAATAAGAGAGAAAAACCACAAATCAAAAGCCAACAAAATGAGATTCAAAAACAATTTGGTTTTTTGGGTTTGTGTTTTTTTTTTTTATTTTGCTTAGTAAAATGTTTGAGAGACAGACACAAACAAATAGATTGTCTGATATCTTTCTCTCTTTTTTTTTTGGGGCATCACAAACATTTTTGTGACACAATTCTGTGATTTCTTTCTTGTTCCTCTCTCCAGCCAGCTTGTGTGCTGTTGTCAGCAGGAAACACTAAATTAGTTGACCGTAGAGAGAATTACCCCATATACAGCATAAAGTATATCTATATGCACACACATTTATATATGTGTCAAGCACAGGCAAAAATTCGCAACATCCGTCACAGGGGAAAGAGTACAAAAATGAAAAATAAATGCAAGAAGACTAAGCAAGAAAGACAGCTCAAGTAAAAGGTCCCGACTATGAAATACCTGATAATAAAAGGATAAGATATCATAAATACCAAAATGCTAAGATATCATAAAGATATGAAATGTAGCTTATTGAATTCCTGAGATACAGAAGATTCAGCTGGACAACGCTTAAAAGACGATTTTAAAGTTGAAATATCTAGCAAAAACATCAAGTTAAATATAAAATAAAACCAAAAATATACTATCACCATACTGGGTATTAAAATATATATATATATATTTCATAACTACCACACAGCGCAGCTGCAACTTCAACTGGTAGCCCAAATAACATATAAAAAAAAATAAATAAAAACAGTAGCAAAATCCACAACATCAATTTCTTTCAATCTCGGCTGCCGGTCTTTGGATTCTTCTCTCTTTGCAAACCAATTCTTCTGCTCCCTCGGGCTTCCAATCTACGCTTTTTCAAACGAATCGAGATTCTTTGCTCTAAAACTTGCCTACGTCATGTTTTTCGAGTCAGAGAGAAGAACTTGTCGCTGATTCGAGTGCCCAGCTCAACTCAGCTCAGCTCACAGATGAGCTTGTTGCCCCCACATTTGAGGAAGCATTTATATAGTCATCATCATAGCAATCACTATGAACATGATCACGATCCATCCACGTCCACGACGGACCACCAGATAACCCCACTCAGCAGCTGCCCACAACGAGCACCATGGAGATGGGAGTATATGGAAAATAACCTGAGGGGAGATGTGATGGCAGACCAAAACATGAGGGAAAACTAAGGAGTAGGTGTGCATCAGGGCTGGAGAGTTCTAGGAAATGTAAAAAAACTAAGGCTTGGGTTGGTAAAAGGTAGAAGTTGCAGAAATTAGCTTCAGGAATATAAATAATAATAATATTTAGAGCTTAAATAGGTATACAATAATTAAACCAATTGACAAATAATAGTATGAGGCAAGAATTTATTGTTGAACAGAAAACTTGTTAGGAGCAGTGTTGAATAACAGTTTATAAAGCAAGCCAATTGTTCTATACTTATATATAGTTATTTTGTGGGTTGTAACTACATCCATCCCTAAATTTACTCCAAAACTGTCCATAAAGACCTCAGCTCATCTCGCGTCACGCAACGCCCAGCAAACATGGCTTTCAACGACATTAACAATGCCAGCAACACCTACCAAAATGAGCTAGGCCGCACTAAGCCATTCTTTCATTGGAAAGACCAGAAAAAATAGTAAAATAAAATGAGAAAAAAAATATAAGTAGCAGCAGAAGAAGTAGCATCAGGCACCGCACCATATGTCTAGTCATGCTCATTAGCATCTCCAGTATCTGCGGCATTCGCAGCTCCTCCAAATCTCTTGAGTCTCCCATCTTTGCTGCAGTGCAGCAAACGCCCACAACGCCCACAATCAACACTCGTAGGAGTAGTAGCCAAGTTGAAAAAAAGAAAATCTTTCACTCACAGGAAGTTTGTGGGCAACCTCATCATCATCATCAACATCAGCATGAACATTAAAATTAAGGTGAGCAAATGAAACCAAAACTCAGGTGGGTGTTGCCAAGGTGTTAAAGAGCAACAGCAACAGCAGCAGCAAGCTCCATTGATTAGAAATGATTAGTAACTTGTTTCTGATAGTTTTAAAGGTCTGAAAAGTACCTTCATAAGTTGAGGGAACTTGCTCAAAGTTATTTTACTTTAGAAGAATTATATAGTATTT